GCCGACAATAAAGGCATGCCTTCGGTTGGTTAAAGTAGTTAGAGCGCGTTCGGCTGAGGTCAAGTCATGTACTCGGCCTATCTATTACTTACGGTAAACGTCCCCAAAAAAATGTTGTTATGAAGGAAACATAATTAGAAATACGGTATGAGTGGTATTTTGTACCTCAGCACAATGCAAACGTTACACATAATTTTTAAAAAGGTATATACAGTAGTCAACTTGACTAGTCTCCCTACTTTTCGACCCTGTTTCAAACCTTTGCACACTAAATGTTGACGACACACCGCGACTAAATATTCACAGTGTAAGCGGTAAATCCTAAACGAATATATTTATTTTTAATCAAAACGTATGCGAGACGTATGTAAAATCCGGGAAACTAAACAATTTGGCGTTTTACGTGAAGTCGGTGTAGTGGATCTGGTTTTTCGATGTTGGCGCCAGAGATCCCCAGCCGCTATCTTGATCTAGATCCGATCAGTGTGTCAACAAGACGTGTGCAGGCCTTTATAAATATCGCTGGTTTTGGCGTTCTTTCTGAAAGACACCATGCCTTTTGTGAAGAAAAGTGCTCAGCAGACGAAGGAAAAGATTGTCCTAGCTCAGCTATATACTAGACCTAGTGGAAAAGTCATCAGATTTAAACGCGTGCTGCATAGCGTGCCGCCGCGTCAGAGCAGACGCCGCTTCGGCGGTAAATATCTTCCTTATTTCATCATGAACACGTACTTTTCCGTGCATATTTAGATTTGTCACAAAATTTCGCTTCTAATGAGACCCATCGCATTTAAGTCTTGATACAAAACCGTTCGCTAGCTCAAAAAAACCGAGTGTGTCCATAAGAGCCCATGTTAAAATACCCTGTTTTTACTGTCAAATATCTCAGAAACGGCACATAGGAACACTTTTTTCTTTTGACCATTAGAAAGTGCGTCTCTCAGAGAATAAGTGACCAAATTTTCACCAACTTCTTGTTACTTTTACCTAGGCGCTCTAACTACTTTAAGAATGCGGGGACGTGGCGCAATTTTCGGTTAAAGTGGCAAGCTGGACACCCTGTATTTAACGTAACTTATTCAAAATTTCATCAGAATATCTGGTGGAATTTTGTTACAAATAGGCACCTAATTGATGAATTTTATTTATAGTTTTACTTTTGCCCTCATGTTAAATAATTTAGTAGGTCTTAATGGTTTTTTGTAATTTAAGACGTAAAAGTTAACACTTGTAAACAATTCTTACGTCTGTGAGAGAATTATTTGGCAGATACGGGGGCTTTATCAAATAAAAATTAATTGATTCCGATAAACGATCGTGAATATGCAACGTTGTAGATTAGGAGGTGTGACGTTGATAAGTTCTCGCATTTCAACTCTAGTCAGGGAGGTAGTACAAAGGGGCCCGAATTTGAGGCCTTGGTACATACCGTAATCCAGGGACTTATTATGAAAAATACGTCCATCAGAATTTTTCCATATGCAATGAAGTTATAGAATGGATCAACTAAAGTCAAAAGATCGAATATGTTACTTTTTGTAGTTGCAATAGGTACTCCCCGAGTTTTTCGGTGCTTCGATTGTAAGGTGTTTCCCATCCAAAACCCCGATGCAATTTGGAAACTGCGATCGTGTCCAAAATCCATCAGCAATAACGTTCCATTCCTCTTCTGTTCGCATTGATATATGTGACTTCATTTAAACGGGTTCTATAGGCGTCATGAATTATTGCTGCCACAGTCGGTCTTCCTAATTTAATTTATAGCTGAACGAAATTGTTTTGAAAGATTCATCAGTGCAAAGGAACCTGAAACAAAAAATAGTCTCAATTATTTAGTATTACAAACTACGCGTGATATGTTACTAATTTTTCCTACACCACATACGAAATTGATTAATTTTACTCATAATTAATCTACTTATAATGTTTTTTACAGGCGAATAAGAAGTGGGAATCCATTCGCGATGAATTAAGAAAGATTTTCTCTGGACAAGCTGCTGAAACTTTTTGAAAATATAAATATGAAGACCTCTTGCAAGGGACCAAGTAGAAAAACATTCTGTTGATGCATTTATGGCTGGGATAGCACCTCCTCTGAAGTCTCTTAATACCATTCTTCTAAAGCCCGAAGACCCCATGTTTTTCCATATTACAAGTTGCTGGATTTTCAAGAAACGACTCTTACATTTCCTTGCAATCAATTTGGACCCTCACCAGCATCATCAGGGTCTGTTTACTCTGTTCCATCGCTGCTAATTCTTGCGTTACCTAATCTTATCAAATTCAATAACACGCCATCAACCTTTCTTTTGGTGTAATTGCCACTCCCCAAAATTTATACGTTCTCTTTAATTTGTCCTCCAGCTTAGTCAGTCGCTGATGGAAGGTAAATTGTGTCAGTCAATCGCTATTGTTGGCAATTCGCTGTTGCTGAAGCTGGCGAAGCCAACTGATAAACTATCAACCGCATTCGTAGTACGACCATCATGCGACCGAAAATGTGCGATTTTGGGCGACACACTGCCGTTCTAAGGAACATACTCGTTGCGAGATCGGTGCGGTGACGTGTGCCCAGACATATTAATTGAATGTTACGTGTGATTCCTCCAAAGCGCCAGGCTTGCCCCGAAGTGTGGAATATGTAACCGCTGAAACGGTATCTGCGACCATCTCGTCAAGGAATAAAGAGAGTAGAATCGACAAATAGCCAGCAGTAATAAAAATCTCCAGATTTCTTGTGATAGCTCCTCAGGGACAAATGATCTACAAATATAAAATTGTCATTAAATAATCATGAGATTGTAAAAGAGGCATAACTCTCAATTCATTTATAAACCCCCAGGGTATATACAAACGTATTTACATTTATTACATACATGCATAGTTATGATAAGAACAGTAAAATTTTAAATACAATACATGACAAGTATACACGAACAATTGTGATTGTAGTTACTGTTGACAAATGCTTCATTTTTTATTTAATAAATAATTGGAATATGTATAGTCTCAATAGATGATTAGCAAACATGTTCTCATCTAAACTGCATTTGAAAAGTATACATTGAACGTACATTATTTGTTTTGCATTTTATAGACGTTTACACAACCAAATTTCCGCTTTGGGTCGTTATGTAAAATTCGTAGTAGTACGGCCACAACATAAACTAAATTCAAATAATATAACAGTTATTAATAAAAATTATTAATCACATTCTTGCGCACATCTCTTCACTTTTCACTTTCGCTTGAATTGTCGAGACTACCTAAATCATAACTTCGTTCTTAAAATTTAATTTCGATTTCACTGGAAAGTTGTTAGTCTATGCCATGCCACTTTAATATTCAGATACAGTCGTGAAAGTATCAAACGAAGCAATTATAGGATGTGCCGTGCCTCACCATTTCTTTAGGACTATTATTACCTACTTTAATTTAGATGTTTAATTTGATGCCATTGTAGGTGTTCGTGATTAGCACAATAGCGGATATGGCAAATATCAGAAATGTCAACCCCAGCTAGCAATGCGGCTGTTCCATTCAAAGGTGTTTTTCGTGTTAACAGCAGCAGAATGAATATCTGAAATACACAGAATGTTGTAATTTTGTAGTTTGTATGTAGTTCAGCGTTCCTGAAACGGTGGAGTTGTTCGGTAAGTGGGGTGAAGTAATCACATAATTTTTAGAATCAAGTTTTGAACTACAAAGTACCTATTTTGCTTCTACTAAACTTTACAGAAAGACCTCTGATGATGATTTGTAACAATACCTCTTAAATTTACTAATTTCAAAAAAATTCTATTGAAGATACCAAGGATCACGCAGCAAGCAAAATTCTGATTCAATTAAAAATTGGTTTAAGCAAACTCAACGGAATTATTGTTTTTTAAATATTCTTTTTGCATTACTGGTACGACCTCGAAATCGTTACCCAGCTTTGTTGTCGAGGGGTTGTATAGCGGTTTCTGGGTCTCCGCATTTAATCTTTTGTTAAACTACAATGCGGATCTCAATGATGGATCATAGAACAGGGAAGAAGGCTTACATTAAACCGAAATAGAATGTCCTATGGTATGGTTATGCTATCACGCTATTCATAGGTTGGACCCCAGGTATATAGTCAACCCACCTTACAGTGTGGCGGTGATGTTACGGTACTGATAATTCTAAATACACAAACTGTTTTACATACTCCATAATAAATAAAAACTAATTCTGAAGTCATAAACAATCTAAACAAAACGTGGTATTATATCGCTGTAATTTAAAGTAAACGTTCAACGAATTTCTTAATATTTGAATATGTAAAGAAAAGTGAAAAATAGAGCTTACTCAGTAACTAAGTGTCAATTTATGTAATTTAAAGTCTAGCAAGAATCTTCCGTTAGGTTTCTATAAGATGTGGAAAATTCGGAGTTTTTTCCAATTATGGAGTTTCCTGGTAATTGTAGTAAACAACTAACCAAGAAACAGCATCTTATCACCAATTAGAGAAAGTGCATTGATTTCGTGGTTGAAAAGCAATAATATATTGTGTAAACAACGTCAGGTAGACGTTTTTTTAGGTTGGAACAATACCGAAAATAAGAACGGGCCATTGTGTATGTGTGAATATTTTAATTTAGTTGAAATCTAGAGAATTTTATTACAAATAATCACGGAATTGATCTATTTGTCGATTTTAGCTTTCCTTAATTGCTTAATTTTTTGTTTAAATTAAATTCTTCGTGTGAATTTATTTATTTAAATTATAAGATATAAAAATTGTGCGTTAGAATGTAAGAAACATCTGGTCGTTTTGCGATATAAAAGTCATCGGACCTAATTTAATAAATGCACGCGTTCTTTCTCGTCGCTAGAAGAGATAACAAAAAGACAGGTGCACGATCCTTTGACGGCGTAAGTGGGGACGCGCGTCCCGTTCTGTTTTGTTGATGATATGGGTAAAGAGCGTGTGTTTCTCTGTGCGTTAATGTTGCCAAACAATTACTATTTGTTTAAAAACGCAGTTTCGCAGTGCAGAAGTTGATGCGGTTTGTCCGTTTACGAAAGAAGTTACGTTGTCGTTGGAAAAGCAGTTCGTAGTGCATAACTAGACATTGTTAGAAGGTTATTTTGTTTAATAAAAGTCAAAGTGTCAAAGATAAACACGTGTTATCGTAAGCAGATGTTAATTATTTTGAAGACGCAGTATTTGGTTAAGTGGGGACTTTTGGTCAAGCCTCTTTGGTGATGGACGTTTCAAACGTAGCCGTTTGTTTTGGTATATACTACCGTGTTTGAGCGTATTTGAAAAGGCAGTCTGTCTTGTTTAATTGTAAAGTTGCGTTGAAGAAAGCTAAAGATTGTTTTCGCCGTGCTAAAATTGGTTATACAGCGTTTGTCACTGAAGAGAAGCCTTTTTTAAGGCTTTCAAGTGTTCCGGTGATTCATAGAGTCCAAATTACGACCCTGATAAGAGTTAAGTGCACTCCGCTTCGCGTCGTGCCACTACTCGTTGCGCGTGCTTTAAAGACTTGCTTATACACTTGTATCTTAATATACTATTAAAGGTTCTGTTAGTACCTGCACTAGTTGGACAAATGCGCTTGTGGGTGGTTTAAGTGACAGTTTGCCATTATACATGGCAATATGTAACAGTTTATAGTGATCATCACTTGATGTTCCGTTATCAATTTTAAAATCGCTTAAAAATAAAATGTAGTATACAATTGAGGGTTCGTAAAAAAATGGGGTTGGAGTGAATTATGTATCTTAGTATCTCTGTCCACTCCGAAACTCATTTGACAAACATGAGGTCGCAAAAACTGCAGTGTAGCTTTTACTGATCCTGGAGAAGATTTTTTCCCGATCTTATTTCTACCACCTGCCATTTGGTCAATTGTTGGCGCGCTGTATATTCGATTTATATTTTCTTTACATTTGTACCCTACCAAGAGGTATTAACATTAAATGGAAGCATTGATTAACGTAGTACATAAACATTAATGACTCCCTCATCTTAGTATCTAGAAACAGCTGGATTATTTATCCAAGATTACATTGTGTAGTTAGTGATTGTAATAAAGGTAGGCTTTATCAGCAGAGTATATGTGACTGTTAAATATCGTTGTACAGCTAATTTTATTCGCACGCTGCCTCTAGGAAAATGTGTACATCTGAATGTTTATTTAATGTGCATCGACGAGTAAACACAATTAACCGCTTCAGTTGCTTGCTTTACTGTTGACTCTTTGGTAAGTATACATACAATTTAATATTAGGTATCATAAATTATGTTTGACGAGTCAATGAAATTGATGACAACAGAAATATTGTCCAAAGGGTACAAGTGTGCAGTGTAACTTCCAATCAGGAGGGGAGGGGGGCGTTTCTGTTAGTTTATCGAGTTGTTCGTATTTTTTAATTTTTTTTTAATTCTCAAGGCTCTCCATATTATTCAGACTCCGATTATTTAAATCATTCACACTCTTCGAATAATTTAGATTATCTATTTGACTTTTTTGATATTTCCAAAGGTCTATAATGACTCATGTCATCACTTACAGATTGACATTAAATTAAAGTTATCTATAAAAATTGAAATGTTGTATTAAGAGATGATTTCGGGTAAAATTTAATACAATCCTCGTCAGTAAAATGTCATTACCTGACCCGGAAATTAATTCAATATTTCATCGTCATTTTTCTAATTTTTATGTAAATAACTATTATGATAATTCTGAGGAATACGACTCCACAGCATTTTCCAAGTCATCATTCGGTAAAAAGCGACATCCTCTTAAGCGTTTTTGTTTTGTTTTGAAAAGACGTCATAGGGACGGGGGAGAGATCGGGAAAGATACGGTGCCTTAAAACCGCGATAGTTGATTGGACAATTTATGCTTTATGCACGCTACAGCCGTTGTGCAGAAGCAGACGTTCAAGTTCTTAATTGTGTCTTTGTGGACATCCTCCATCCCTTTGGCTACTCAATTATGAGAATTACCAAAAATTTGTAACCATAGCTCCCCCCTCCCCTTCCCGATATAAATTTGTGTAACGCCTTTTTAGGTGGTAGAGAGCCTTTATAAACCAATTGTGTGCACTCTTGTTTTATGGGAGAGTGGATTCAAAGGTTTTCCACGCTTTGGATCATTATGAATACATTCCTTCTCCCATTGTATTTTTATCTAATGCACCTTTTTGTAGCTACGTTGCTTATTGAGCATTTAAAAATGGTACAATAATCTTAATAGTACTGTAAAAAGTTAGCTGGGAGAATGATCCCACCAGTCTATCTAAACAGATACGTAGCAATACAGAATGGGAAAATAATCTTACGTACACAGCACGTTCCATTCACATTAAAACTAAAAATAGTAAACAATTTCACACTACCGTGTTTGGTACCGATTTATTTATATATTGGCATTATTTTCTATTTTCAGCCATTTTAGTGTTAGTGTACAATGGTGGCTCGAATATTTCTTGAAGGACAACGCTTATCAAATTCCTTTGTACAGTGGAAACGTCGCTGGGTGCTTTTTTCGTTATTTAGCGTTTTTGTAGTATTATGCCTCCTTTTGGAAAACACACAGGAACCTGCTACTGCCATATACATCGACCGTTTAAGTAGCGCACAGTCCCTTTTAGTGGAATTGCAGAGGCGCAACCGGCAACTTCTGAAGATATTGAGAGATTTTGAAAAGATGTGAGTGGCGCGCCATAAATTACAGTAATCATCATTTAGGTTGCAGTGACATTACTATCGATAAAGAAGGGACGCTACACGACCTAGAAGAACGTCTAGAGATACTTTCCTCGTCAAATGGAAGTAAAGTTCCCTTAAAGAGACCCTCCACAGAGTACCAACATTTGCAAAGACATATAAAAAATAATATTAACGAGTTTTGGTATTTCGTAAAGGCACAACTCCAAAAAATGAAATCGGAAGCTGCGGAATCACTAAAACCGACTTTGGATGACATCTTAGCGATGGCACTAGATCATACGCAGTAGGAGCGAACGCTTTATACTAAAATGTTACTCACTATCAAATTTGAAGGGCTCTGTTAAGCGATATTGATGAAGTGATACAGAAGGATGGTTACAAGGACTGGAGACGAGCCGAAAGCGACGATTTATCTGGATTAGTGTGGCGACGATTCAATTATTTACAAAATCCCCGGAATTGCAAAACAGCAAATAAATTAATTTGCCATGTTGAACAGGTAAGTTTCCTTTTATTCTCTTCTACAACCTTCTCAAACCTAAATATCCATTCACCTGTACTTGGATTCCACACGTATATGCGGTTAGAGAACGTATTTACAGATGTAGATCCGTTTAGTTTCCGATTTGGTACTATTACTTAAAGTAGTTTTTTTAAGGCGTTATCGTCCGTGACACATAAATTTTCGGACTGGTAAATCCTCTTTACAAAATTCCATGGGTTGATACAAATCATGTTCCATATGCTAGTAATCATTATGTTTAGATACAAAATGTCTTTGTTTAAACATTTCGGCACTAAAAGCATCCTCCAACTTAAATATTTCTTCCCTCTATATCGTTGCCTTGTCTTCTTCTCTTTCTTCTTCATTTTACCCCCTCTCTCTGTCGACTTGCTCTTCTTGTGCGATTATTCCGCCCCCCCTTTTTTTTCAAATCATCCAGTTCTCTTCCTTTTGGTCTTCGTCTAATATTTCTTTTTTTGCTTTGTTCCGATTGTTTTACTTGCTTTCGCCACATATCCTCTCTTCTTCACTCCATTAGTTATTTCCTCTTCTGGATACGTTAGTTTCTTCTGGGGTATTGATAAGATTATTTCAATTTTTCTGATCCTTTCGAGTTTTCCCATTTTTCGGATTTGTTTTCTTTCAATTCTTTAAAGTGTTTTGTTTTTACTGTTCAGAACCTTCCTTGTATTTCTTTTTTAAAATCACACTTGGTGTTCTTCACTTTTAGTCCTTCTAATTTCTCAATCTTTTCAATTCTTTAGGTTCCTAGTTACTTCCGATTCATCACTTCTCCCATTTTTTCCGTTTCTCCAGATTTTTCATCACAATGTCTATTATTCTTTCGGTTCTTTAAATTATTTCAGTTTTTAGATTTCTTAAATTCTGTACTACTACAAAACTCATCGGATATTTACGGTTATTCGGTTCTCCGTTCGTCTTTAGTCTTTACTTTCTACTATTCATTTTGCCATTTTTTCCCATTCTTTTGAATTATATACATACGATTCTTCAAGTTTTCAATATTCTTATAGTTCTTCGGGTTGCTTCTTTTCTTCAAATTGGTTTGATTTTTCAGCTTTTACGAGCTATTTGCGTGAACTATCGATTCCTCTTCTTTTTCTCATTTTTACATTTCTTCGGGTTTTTCAATTATTATCTTTGCTTCCGATGCTTTGGATACTTTTGAATCTTCAAACTCATTAGATCCTACATATACTTAGTCACGTTCGGTCGGATTTTTCCTCGAATTCTTTCGATTTTTAGCGTATTTTGCAAATTTATTTGTAATAAGAAAAATATAGGACCTACTGTTTTGTGGAGCGCTTTTAGCGAAATCCGCCAAAATGGCACATTTATATGACCGTGGAGGCGTCAGAAGTGGGTACCGACAAAGGAGATAAGGTAGCCCCCGACAAGGTTTGATTGATGGTTTGAAAAGCACTAAGGTCCCTTTGGTCTTATTAGTTGAAAGCTTGCGAGTCTTTCGGATACTTCGTATATCGCGGATCATGCCGCCTGCTCGGTTTTTAGCGCATTTTTTAAGAATTCAAAAAGTGCTGTTTGCATTATATCCGTCCGTTCGTCTTTTAGGAGAATTGTCCAAGAGTACTGGAAGTTTTTGCAATAGGTAGCATACAGTGAATTTTTTTTACATGCGAACATAGGAGTTTGCATGCAATGTAATTTCCCTATGTTCGATTTTTAAAAAAACACATCAATCTATTTAGTAGTTCAAATGAGTAGTAGATACAATTGACAGCTGTCACATTTTTGAAAATACCGCCGTCCAATTTAATTACGAAATCGGTTAGGTTATTGCTTAGAATGCCAAGGAGGACACTTCCAACATTTATTGTAGTTGTTTTCGGTATTTATTTTCTTATTTTCTTCATTTATGTATTGAATAAATCAAATTAGTAGAATACTAGGTGCACATGACCTACAAATAATTGAAGGTTGGTTCACAATGAATTGCGATGTCAGCGCGTGCCATGTGAAGTCAAGTTATCGTAAGTTTAAGAAAAATTTATCCTAAAGTTGCTATGGCCTCACACGGCTTATTTAAAAAAATCTTACCTAGTGCTCTTCATCATAAAGACTATCAGTTGCTGTTCATAGTCACACAAGTTGTACGATTTGGGAATGTGAACCGCGCACACCTCATAGATTGATGTGTTTTTTTTAAAATCGAACATAGGAAATTACATTGCATGCAAACTCCTATGTTCGTATTTTAAAAAAATTCACTGTATACCTTAAATGTGTGCCAGACAGTTGTTGTCTTAAGGAGGGGCCGCTCTATAAAGTGAAACAAATCATTGTGCATTTCAATGATATGTCTTTCTTATTAAAAATGTAACGCAGAAAACGATATAAAATGAACTTCAGAACAGAATACAATATTGTTTCCATGAAAACGACGCCAGAACCTAAGCTTGATATTTTGGACGTCTAAATTAAATACCTACAGAATTTTCAGAAGTTTTATAATGATTTCTATGGCTTCTGCGATACAATAAAGTTTTGTATTATACACGACGATAAGGGGAAGTTAATCTCAAGCCATTTTACGATTATTATTATGTACAGACAATAAATGGGACACAAAGTAATGTAAATGGAAATCCCCTTCGTTTTAATCAAGAAAATCATTGCGCATAGAATGAGAAATCAATCAATATCCGTGCGATTATCACAATTTATACTGTATTGATTTATTCGTCCCTTGCGTTCTTATGCACATGCAATTCAGATTCTAGATGCAACAAAAGCTAATCAGACAGGCACGTATGCACAAGAAACAATGTTGTTGCATCGCGTTCCTGTCTTAATACGGAGCAAGTGAACAACAGCATCTGATTAGCTCTCACAGAAATGTCGAACTAGATTGAATTTTTACTTTGATGTGAAGTGGTGCGATCCCATTAAATGGACAAGCAACAACAACAAAAAGAACGGACAGACACTATTGAATTAAAATGCCTCAGTGAAGAATGATTACTCGTATTACAATTTGAACCCAATGTTGCACAACGATCCCTTGAATGTTTTTAACACATTTTTTGCGAGCAGCTAATATAAAATGGTTGCCACTCAGTTTCAATAAGTATTCAAAATTCCTCTTTATAAGAGGTCGGAGAAAACCTACCTTTAAAATGTCTACTTATTTTATAATAAATTTATATAAACGGATGAAAATGTTGATAATATGGCCCTTAATTATTCTAAGGCTCAAAGAGATTCTCAACGCTAATTTAGATTAGAATGCCGTGTAAATTTGTTTTTCGCAAATAGAAACTGTCCTTGTTATTACATTTTTGTGCAATGTACAGGGTTATTCTAAATGATGGACCCAATTTAATAAATTCGTATTTATTTAAATATAAATGCAAAATGAACAATCTACATACCAATGGAAAGAGGAAGTTTCAAAGTTTTTTTTACATATGCAGAAACGGCCGCTAGAGTTCTCGCGCCAGCCAGCCGCCTTTGTGTTGTCAGTTGTGAGTGAGATGGCTACCGTGCAGCACAAGGTTTTCTGCGTTCTTGAGTTTGCTAAAAGTGAGTCGCAAGTTACAGTGCAGCGGGCATTTCGTCTGAAATAAATATGTAAAAAAAACTTTGAAACTTCCTCTTTCCATTGGTATGTAGATTGTTCATTTTGCATTTATACTTAAATAAATACGAATTTATTAAATTGGGTCCATCATTTAGAATAACCCTGTATAAATGCGTGCACACACACGCCACTTTAATAAATACGGAATTCAACGTTCCGCTCGGGACCTCATTTTCGAAGAAGATGTAATTATTGACACCGGCAGCACGTCAAGATTTAATCTTGTAATACCGAGCGTTGGAGTTTAGTCACAAAGTAAAACAAATAAGTGTAAAATCAGTCAAAATTATTTACATCAGTACACAAAAAGGGAAAACCGTTCCAGGTCCAGAGTCTATCAACTCCCCCTGAGCAAACAGCCTGTAACATTATTTTCTTACCGATTAAAAATTCCGCTTAAGTAAGGTTTGACTTGTGCTCTTATTCAATATTCTTACGCCATGTAGTCCAGTTTTTGTTGTAGTCGAGTTCTTTATTTTGCCGTTAGAGGCCCTTCTAGTGGTTTCTTTTACTTACTTCTTAGTCTTGTTGCTAGAGTGCAGGCGTTGTACCTTCTTGAATGTACTGTCATCCCTTCTTAAAGTTTTTCTCGCCTATGAGTGTTGCACTTCTTCTTCTTCGGTGAAGGTTCGGCAGTTGGAATTGATTAGATGTAAATGTCTTTTGGTACCTTTCTGACTTGTGTCATACCGTAAGGGATTATTGTTTTGGAGTGCTTTCTATTTCTCTTTGATGTCTGCTGTGGCTCCATTGACTTTTTTATGGATATGATTTACATTTCATTAATACGTGGTATGTTACATTACGCAGCATTGTTTCTTCATTACTCTTTTACCTTCACTTATCGCTCAAATTTTTTAGTTTATTTTAAGTTTATTTATTACCTTTTACGTCTACCTGCCAGGGTTTTACTTACCATCTACGCAGTACGTGGATGATACTGCAATTTTTACTTGGACCCGCCATTTTGGTGGGATTGATGTTAACGAAAGT